TTCCGCTAAATTTTGCGGGGAAATTTCTCAGCTATATTTAGCGAGGAAATCATTCCGCTAAATTCAGTGGGAATTTTTTTTCCGCTAAATTTAGTGGGAAATTTTTCTGCTAAATTTAGTGGGAAACTTTTCCCGCTAAAGCTAGCGGAGAATGTTTCCGCTAATTTTTCCGCTGAATTTAACGGGGGATTTCCTCCTCTAAATCTAGCGGGAAAACTTTTCCGCTGAGTTGAGAGAGGAATTTCTGTCCGCTCAATTTAGCGCGAAATTTTTTTTCCACTAAATTTAACGGGGATTTGTTTTTTTTTTTGCTAAATCTAGCAGGGAACTTTCTCCATTAAATTTACCACGAAAAAGTTTTCAGCTAAATTTAGCGGGGAAACGTTCACGCTAAATTTAGCGGGAATGTTTTATTTTGCTAAGCTGAGTGGAAATTTTTCTGCTAAGTTTATTGGGGAACATTTTCTGCCAAATCTAACGGAGAATTGTATCCTCTAAATTTAGCGAGGAATTTTTCCCATCAGTATAGCGGAGACGTTCTTTCAGTAAATTCGGCGGGGATATTTCTTTTTCGCTAAGTTTAGCGGGGAAGTTTTCCGCTAAATTTAGCGCGGAAATTTGTCCGGTAAATTTAGTGGGGAATTTTTTCTTTTTGCTACATTTATCGAGGAATTTTTTCCCTAAACATAGCAGGAAATATTTTAGGGTAAAAAAATTATCAGGAAACTTAAGCTGGGAAATTTTCTCGCTAAATTAAGCGGGGAACGTTTTCTCGTTAAATTTAGCAGATACAATTTTCCGTTAAATTTAGCGGGAATTTCTTTTCGTCTAAATTTAGAAAGTAATTCTTTCCACTTAATTTAGCGGGGAAAATTTGCGAAACGTTTTGCCAAGAAATATACCCATAATGCAACGTGCGGTGACGTCACGATCGACGTTACATGGTACCCTCGTGACGTCACACATGACGTAACGTGTGACGTAATCATGGGGGACGTGCCATAATGCAGCCGACACCGACGACGACGCCGCTCAAGCCGGATACGGCCGCCTAAGAGCTTCGATCTAAAACTTGTATTTCGTGGACGCATTTTAAAAATATCACTCCATTCAATGTCTGTTCGCGATGTCCGTACGGTGCAAAACCAACAAGTGGTTCTCTTTTTAAAGATCGAACAGCGCCCACAAGGGCAAAAACAAGGATAACTACGACGCAACCTGCTAAGTTATAAAAAAAAAAAAAAAAAAAAAGGAGAAGAAACGAAGTCTTCACCGCAAGATTTTCTTAGCGCCCAACTAACTTGGGGTCTCAGAAAAAAAGAGTAGAGGCTAGAACTGATGTACGAATGAACAACCAATATAAAGACCGCGACATTTGGAATATGCGAACCTTTTTTTGAACGCGAAATACAATTTTACGATAAGGAATGTCCCTCTTTCCTTGTTGTAAATTAGAAACCAACACGCTCAACCATCTATATTAAACCAGTGTCCGCTCAGTTCCATGGAAGCCGCGATGTTTGAATTAGTCGAAGTAATGGCACCGTAGGGGAGCTGCGCTTTTTTAAAGACTCCGTTTTTCTTAACCACCTTGCAGATATTGTGGAAAAGTAACGTCCGAAATGTATAGTCACGAAGCTCCAAGGACAACAGCGATGTCAAGTGTGCTGTAAAAGGCAAAAAATATAGTTTCATGCTCATTCCTTCTCTCCAAGAGAGCCTGCGTAGGAGATAATTATTTCTCATTTTTATCGCTGCGGAGAAAGATTTAAGACGCAAGAATATATTCGGACAAAATGTGGGCGTTTCGCATTCTCAAATCATCAATATTTCTCGGTGAAATGTCTATTTGTGACGTCCATACGGAAAATACCCACCAGGAATTTCTTATTAAAATCCCGACTGGCTACCAGAAAGGCAAAAGTGACGAACACTGCGACGCCACCTGGAAAGTACAAAAGAAGAGCGCCTTTCACCAGACGCTGCTCTCCGCTGACAAAGTCTCCTGGGTCTCAAAATTGAATAGTAGAATCTAGAACAGATAGTAGAATACACATTAAGAAAATAATGCATCATTTGGAACATCTTTCAGGCTATTTTTTTTCTAAAACAAAAAAAAAAAACAAAAAACGTCGGTGTTTCGCGCACGTAAATGGTGAACATTGCATGGTTGAATATCTATTCACGGCGTGGGTATGGCAAATACCCAACCGTGAATTCTTTTATCACAACTCCAGCTGCGACCACAAAAGCAAGAACGATGATAACTACGACGCAATCTGGTAAGTGACACAGAAGTACACCACTCGGCAGAAGCTGCTCATAGCTAAGAACGACGTTTCAAAACGGACGAGTAGAGTCTAAAACAAAAGTGCGAATAAACAACGAACGGACCCGACTCACGTATAAAACAGAAAAACATTTTAGAGGCTACTTTGCTAAAACAACGAGGGTATTTCGTGCTCCTAATTTATAAACATTACTTCATTAAATGTGTGTTCGGGATGTCCGCACAGAAAACAAAAGTCATTGGTTTCTTTCTCAAAGCTTTATCTGATTCGAAAACGTCTGTTCGGGATGTCCGCACAAGGGCAGCTAAAATGACAACTCTGACGCTACCTTGTGAGTGCCAGAGAAGGGCGCTTCTCACCGAACTATTTTCTTAGTTGTCAAACAGAAGAGTAGAGGTTGCAACTGATGTGCGATTTAGAAAAGAGGGAAAACGCAACATTTGGAACAAGCAAACATTTTTGCAATCCATTTTTTGGAAAAAAAAATGTGGGTGTTTCGTGGAAATAAATCATTAACGTTTCTTGGTTAAACGTCCATGCGCGATGCCCACACTGCAAATAGCCGCCAATGGGTTCTTTTTCACTGCAGCGGGGTCCACCACGAAGACAACAGCGACGACCATTTCGACGCCACCCGGTAATTACCAAAAATGAAAGCCGTTTACAAGTCCCTGTAACGCCGAATTAGAGCGCAGCTTTGGAGGAGGAGGAGGAAGGGGTACTGAGGGTCGCATGTTCTTGGGGGGGGGGGGGGGGGGGTGGTTCGCGTGACCTAGGGGGGGGGGGTGTCACGTGACCTTTAGAGGGGGGCTCACGTGACCACGGGGGAACGTGACCCCCAGGTCACATGGCACCGGCTTGAGCGACGGCGACGCGCTCAAGCCGGAAACGGGCGCCTAAGAGCTGCGGTCTAAAAGGGCGCCTCTCAGATGAAGCTACTATCATGCCAATGTCTCAGAGGTCTCAAAACGGAAAAGGAGAGGCCAAGACACATGCCCGAGTAAACAATAAAGAATCGAACGTTTGGAAGACGCGAAAGCATTTGCGGGCAATTTCTCGGAACGCGATGATGTTTTATGAACTTAAATTGTAAATACTGCTGGTTTAAGTGTGTATTCGGTACTTCCATGCAGCAAATATTCCTCAGTGGTTCATTTTTCAAAGAATAGCGTGTCACAATTTTGTTTATATTCCGACTTTTCTTTTTTTTTACTTTTGAACAATGTTTTTTTACGTGTTTTCCGGCCTTTATGCTAATAGAACATCCCGGTAATATTCACCACTCCCGCCGTATTTCACACGCATTGCCGCAATTCGAGAGTACGGCTTTTCTTAATGTGAGACCTGTAGCAGGGCACAAGCTGTGTCATGCTAGTGAAAGAGCTCACCCAATCATGTACCGTAGAACGTCCTACGTCACACCGTTCCTCGCCTTGATAAAGGCGCACTTCGTAACAATAAACATCATTCATCACCCGACTGGCGGCCCGCTTACATGGTGGCAGCGGTGCCCAGTCGAGATGTCGAAACCGTCAACGCCGCCGATGCCCCCATTGCCGTCAACGCTGCTGCCGCCACCGAAGCCCCTGGACACCTCAGGCGACGCATGGCTCGGATGGAAAAATTGGAAACGTGAGTTCGCCTTGTTTTCCACCGCTACGCAATTGAGCAATCAGCCAGAGGAAGTGCAGGCAGCAACCTTACTAATAACAATCGGAGAAGAAGCCAGAAAGGCGTACGAGACCTTTAAGTTCACTACAGATGAAGAAAGAAACAGTGTAGAAGTACTGATTCAAAAGTTCGAAGAATACTACAAGCCCGCTACAAACCTGACTTTCCAGGAATTCAGATTTGGGTCCAGAGACCAAAAAGAAGGTGAACCTTTCAACGAATGGTTAACAGAGCTAAGGATTCTAGCTAAGAATTGCGAATTTGGAGAGCTAGAAGATCGGATGCTACGCAGCTGTATCATCCTAGGAGTTCGAGACAAGAGCCTGCAGCGGAAATTACTTGTTGAAAACCCAACCTACGAAAAGACCGTTGAGCTGTGTCGCCTTCAAGAACAAGGGCAGGAAAAGTTCCGAGAGATTACTGGAACAGCGCAAGGCGCATCTGAGACTACTATTAATGCTGTTGCTGCGAAAAAGAGTCCCTGCTCTAGGTGCGGCTATTTTACTCACCGCGGCGAAACCTGCCCAGCAAAAGGAAAAACGTGCAAGAAATGTGGAAGGCTTAATCACTTTGCTCAAGTGTGCAAGACGCCTGTACTTCAACAAAGCGCGAATAAACCGAAGAAAGAACTACGCGCTCTGCACACCGAAAGTGACGAGGAATTCTTTCTCGAAGCATTAACGGTAAACTGGGTCGAGACCGACAAATGGAGCGCGTCAGTTCACATTGAGGGCAAACCAATGGCGTGCAAGCTAGATACGGGCGCTAACTGCTGCGTCATATCAATGCAAGACGCCGTAAAGCTTTCAGATAAGCCTCGGCAAGAGTGTCAAGTGACGCTAACTGCGTTTTTCGGAAACAAGACGACTGCTCACGAGAAAGTAAAATTGCTTCTTTCCGCAAACGGCAGAGAGCACGAAGAACTCTTCTTTGTCGTAAAACAACATGTGCCGATCACCTTGAGCGGCTCCGTTGCCGAGCGCCTGGGACTTCTGTACCGGGTGCAGAATGTTCATCTAGAGAACTTGTACCAAGCCGCACAACCTTTTGCAGAAGTTTTCAAAGGCCTTGGGCAATTGAAAGATGTCGAGTATGAAATGAAGCTGAAACCTGGAACTGTTGGAGTCGTCGTGCCGGCCAGGAGAGTTCCAGTTGCTCTTCAAGACAAGGTGAAGGCGGAACTTCAGCGCATGGAAGAGCAAGGCGTCATAACCAAGGTAACAGAGCCTACTGCATGGTCTAGCCACATGGTCACCGTCATTAAAAATGACAAAGTGCGTATTTGTTTGGACCCTACGGCACTCAACAAAGCACTTTTGCGTGAAAACTACCCAATGCCAACCCTAGAGGACGTCGCGCCGCTACTGTCTGGAGCAAAATTCTTTTCGACCCTAGATGCGGCGTCAGGATTTTGGCAAATCAAACTTAGTGTCGAGTTCCAAAATATGCACGATGAGCACACCATACGGCCGATATCGCTTCCTCCGGATGCCGTTTGGAATCGCATCCGCGCCAGAACTTTTCCAAGCAGCAATGCACCGCCTACTAGAAGGGCTACCTTGTGTCGCCGTAGTGATGGACGATATTCTACTCTGGGGCAGAACAAAAGAAGAGCACGACCATCACTTGACACTACTGCTGTCGCGCCGCCGAGATCACAATCTGCGACTGAATCTAAAGAAATGTACCTTTTTGCAGACAGAAGTCCGCTACCTAGGTCACATCCTGACCACGAAAGGCCTGCACCTGTACCCGGACCGCGTAAATGACATCCTGGCGATGCCGCCACCCTCAAACAGTAAGGAGTTGCAAGTTTTTCTTGGCACAATGAGCTTTGTACAGCGTTTTGTACCTCGCATGTCCGACGTGACTGCGCCGCTGAGAGCTCTACTGCGCAAGGATGTTGCCTGGGTGTGGACCGAACAGCAGCAAAACAGTTTTGACGCCCTAAGACGAGCATTGATCGAAGCACCGGTTCTGTCGTACTTTGATCCAAAAAAATCAGTCACTCTTTCTGTTGATGCCAGTCAATACGGAATGGGGGCCGTCATTACTCAGGAAGGCCATCCTATCGCTTTTTCATCAAGATCCCTTACGGAAACGCAACAGCGATACGCACAAATTGAAAAAAACACTGGCAATTGTGCACGGCTGTACCAAATTTCATGATTACATTTTCGGCCAGGCGGAAGTAATTGTCGAGACAGATCACCGTCCCTTGGTGCCGATTTTTCAAAAACCACTGCACCAAGTTCCACTTCGTTTGCAGCGTATGCGATTGACTCTGCAACGTTACCCCATCCGTCTTCTATACAAGCCGGGCAAAGAACTCTTTCTTGCCGATGCTTTGTCACGCTTCCCCAGTAAAGTCAGCATGCAAGAAGAAACCACCCAGTTTCATGTGAACGTACTTGCTTACGTTTCAGCATCAGAAACCCGCCTTAAGGACCTTCTTGGAGCAACCAATGAGGACCCCGAACTCTCAAACCTGCATGACTACGCGGAATCAAGCTGGCCTGATAACAAGCAAGACGTCCCAGAAATCGTCCGTCCCTACTGGGCGTACCGCGAGGAGATACACACTCAAGACGGCCTTCTGTTTCGCAGCAATAAGGTAATGATACCAAAATCAAAAAGAGTAGAAATGATGTACCTCCTGCACATGGCACACGCGGGGCCGGAGAAGATGAAAGCGCGAGCAAGAAGTGTGTTGTTTTGGCCAAACATGTCCAATGATATAGAGCAGTTTTGTAAAGCCTGCAAGGTGTGCCAGATGCATCAGCCACGAAACGTAAAGATGCCTCTTCTGAGCCACGACGTCCCGACATTGCCTTGGGAGATCGTGGGAATGGACTTGTTCTCATACGGCGGACGCGAGTTTGCAATAATTGTAGACTTCTATTCGTTCTTTTTTGAGGTTCGGGAGCTCCGCCACACAACCGCAAACATGGTTAAATCGTGGTGTGCTGAAGTTTTTTTCAGTTCATGGGCTACCACTGAAGCTGTGTAGTGACAACGGCCCACCATTTAACAGCAAAGAGTTCAAAGACTTTCTAGCCCATCTAGGCGTAATGCACACTACCTCTAGTCCCTACCACCCACGCTCTAATGGTATGAGTGAAAGAGCAGTTCAAGAGGCCAAGAAACTTTTAAAAAAGTGCTCGTTCAGAATGCCAGACTTCCAAATGGCTTTACTTGAGTGGCGAAATACTCCCAGAGATGCTGTCCTCAAGTCTCCTGTGCAGAGGCTGATGGGACGACAGACGCGGACGCTGCTACCAGTACCAACAAGCCACCTGGAGCCGGAGACTGTGCCAAGCAAAGCTGTCCACAACCGCCTCAAGGAGATCCGTCAGCGGCAGATGACCTTCTACAACCGCAACTCCCGAAACCTGCCGCCATTGTCACCGGGGCAACAGGTCACGACGTACGACACACGCCAGCGAACCTGGTCGCCAGCCGTCATCCTGAGACCAGCGGGCACCCCGCGTTCAGCGATTCTTCAGACTGAAGACGGCCGCGAGATTCGACGCACAAGAGAGCACCTAAGGGAGGCAGCATCCCAGCCGGACTCAAGTCGACCTTTAACCGAAGACCGACCGGCAGACCAGGACATCAACGAGCCCAGTCAAGAGCTACGCAGAAGTACCCGAGAACACCGGGAACCCTGCCGGTACCCACTGCCCGAAAGACTGTAACAAAGCCCCTTCCCCTTTCCCATTCTCCTTTAAAGAGGGGAGATGTAGCAGGGCACAAGCTGTGTCATGCTAGTGAAAGAGCTCACCCAATCATGTACCGTAGAACGTCCTACGTCACACCGTTCCTCGCCTTGATAAAGGCGCACTTCGTAACAATAAACATCATTCATCACCCGACTGGCACCCCGCTTACAAGACCCACTCGAGGAGACAGTGGACGCGGTGGGGCTTAGCACATGTTGCTCAGAGGAAGTTTGGTTTTCGGCATAGCATTGATCGGGGGTAGTTTCTTTTTTTTTTTTTTTTTTTTTGCAAAGAAAGCGGGCTTGGACGAAGCACAGCTTTGTATCACCACCTGAAACAGCCTCACCGAACAGGTACTTGATTTTGTTGGAGGCTGTACAACCTGTAAATAAGGAGCCATAAGTAGAAGAAATGATGTGGGATTGTGGGTTGGTTTCGGATCTTGCGGTTTTATAGCTGTACTTGGTTTCACCGCAACTCGGCAAACTGCAGAGGATATGGTCCAAGTGAATTAATCAGTGCGTTGAAGAGAAACACGTGACTTTACTCATCCCGCTAGTCCCGAGTAGCGCTATGAAAGCCACCGGTGCGATGGTGAGGAAAACTGTTGCTGTGCGATATTTGAGTTAGAAGCTAACCTCCGAGGGGGACAAAAGCAACCTCTGTGACACGCGAATGAATGGCGGGCTAATATAAGAATTCTTTCTTCCTCTTTTCTCCAGCTACTTGGGGTACTTTCTCGCTCTTGTATGTTTTTAAAGGTCTTTCATTTCCTTCGCCTCGTCGCTATTATTGGCTCCAAGGTGCCGTGGTTTGCGATAACACTGAGATAGTTTGTTATTGAAAGCTTATATTTATTTTAACCAACTAAACGTATGTTCCTAATAATTGGATCATTTTCAACCTACTCGTGACAATTAGTCCCTACTCTATGTCCCACCTCCCTACAACGCACCTGTGTACGTTTTAGCGATTAAAAACAACGCACGTTTAAATTAAAATCAAACACTGGTTTGACACTAACCGCTAGAAAGATGCAGCGCGTGGCTTTGACAGTATGCCCATGATTCTTGACTCGCAATTAGTATTTCGGCGTCCTTGCAAGCTAATTCCGTAATTTCATTGGCGGTGAAGCGATAAGAAGCACTTTGAAGTCGCCACGCCACGCGTTGCTTATACCCCTTGCAGAGGGTTATAGAGATACCTTTCGCTAAGGCACCTTTATGGCTAAGGTCACTGGATCGTGGGAAAGTAGCGCCGACCTCTCCGTATCGTCGCCATTTTTGTCTGTGAAATGAGCAATTTTTCTTTGATTCCTTCATTATTGGTGAGCCAATCTAAATTCGCAGGTGACGGGTAGCTCTATCAAGTGGTTTCTTGTATGCCGAGATTTTGCTGTCCACACATCGGCGAAACAAGCCTGCATCTTCGTACCACCACCACATGCTGCATCGGCGCTGGGAGGCGCTGAAAAATATGTTTACTGTTTTAACATACGCAGAAAGAACAATATAATTGTAAGGCATCCGTCGAGATGGCCATGATAGATAAGCTGATTGCATACGCAGTGCCAAAGACGCTTACATTGGCGAGGAACGCTTCCAGTACGATGATGCTCCCTAGTGATGTTGGCGCGCCTAATTTTGAAGGACACTCTGGAGGCTTCGGAGATTTGAATGAGCCGAGATGGCGACTTCCATGGTAACGTAGACAGATTAGCCAATCACTGCGAGGATTTGGTCGTCTGTATGTTAGTATCTCTTTGTGTTCGGCCAGCAGGTAGTGAAGGCAATGGCCGTACTTTTCCAGAGTCAGTGAGTTTATTTGTGGCCAGCGGGGAATCCAGTTCGTGACTCTCCATGCGTGGCAATTGCTCGCGACCCACGAGCGCGGTTTGATTCGCTGATTGGAGGAGAACCCAAGTCAAAGGGGTACTGACAGGTCAAAATCATATATTTTTTTATTATCCGAAACGATGGAAAACGATGCCTGGACGTTACTTTCAAAATTCGAAACTTAAAAACTCCGTATTTTTGAAGCAATAAACAAGACGATGCTGCTCGACAAACTGGCTCGGAAATAGGTAAAGTTCCTGTATAGGCTCCAGAATTGCGCGTTCATCCCCGTAGCGCCGTCTTTCCTGGACGACATGTTGAGCCTGCTCCTCACGTGACAGAATTCGGCGAATAGCCGCGCCGCGCGTTCGAGGCGCGCGGCGCGTCCGAAAGCAGGGGTACGTACGGCGGGGCGCGTGCAGCGTCTACTTTCTTGCACGGCACTTGATCCGGCTTCTCACGGGATCGTACCTCGGCGAATATGGCGTGGCGGCACGTGAAAAAAAAGACGCGCAACTCTGGCTCCCGTAGAGAGCCTGAGATAAGGTGCCGCTAAGCGCTGTTAATGGGGAAAGCTGGTACTGCGAATGCCCTGCCCCCCCCCCCCCCCCCCCCCCCCCCCCACACACACACACTGAAATTCATTCCGTTTGCTTTTTATTCACCCCTCGCACTTTTTTAATTGTTGAATCTTCGGTTGTCTGGCCCCGTATCTCCATTTGTGTAAATCATATCTCATATTGTGTTCTACATATTTTTAGATATTTTAGACTCGTAAAATGACTGTGTTGCACGTTTTAATTACACATTATGTTTGTAATGTATGTATAACATTTTTGGGGTTCAATGTTTTCTGTTATCCTTTTAGTTAATGCTTTGTTTCATATTCATGGGGGCCATAAAGAAGGCTGCCTGGTTGTTTCTGTTTTCAGAAAGTTTCATTATTATAATTATGGCAGTCTTATAGTTCAGTGCATAAAAAAGACTCACTTTCAAATTTTCATAGCCACAACATGTTTCCAAAGTACCTACAAGGTTCTTCTAATTGTTTCAATTATTTTTACATTAACATATCTTCAAGCAAAATTTATATATCAAGTTTGGAAATAAAAAAGGGGAAAATTGTCCCCAGTACACTTTGGCTCTATTAGAGTCAGATAATATATTTATTACATAGTTTCGGTTGTAATGCCCTAATATACTGAGCTTTCTATGTCAAAGCTGGCACTGTCCCTATGCTTGGACAGTGACAGCCTTTTGTCGTCAACATAAAAGTGAACGATATAAAATAATTTTATATGTGTATATGTTTTCCAAATGCAGCACAAAAAAAAAACGGTCATGCTATTTGTACCGCTATATTTGTATTTAGTAAGTCCTTTTGGGGGTTTTTAAACTGGAGCAAGGAGAGCGACTCATCGGTCACTCGACCAACATGGGAAAGCGTGCCGCCAGCGTTTTCCCGCTATAATTAAATTGTGAAACGTATTGAGGCTTACAGGCTGTATGTTCAGAAAAGAAAAGAAAAGACCAGGAGCCAGATATTGCGCAGGCCCCCTCTGACAACACGAATTGCGCGTGCACCGATCTCAGCCACCTATTCTCAAGCATTGAATTTAAGAAAACCAAAACTAATTGAACAACACAAGATTAAGTATTATCAGACTAGGAATGCAGATATTGTTGTGATTTGTGTTGCTATTACACTCGCGGAACGAGCATGGGGCAACATGGGTTGAGTAAGCTTATCACTCCGCAAATCTAAAGGCGAAATGATCGGGAGCACGCCGTGCGGTGTTACATTAGCCGATTATTTTCATACCATGTGGCCTCCGAAGCGCTAGATCAAGAGAGGTGTCCAGCCTGCCAATTTAAATACGCAGAGCACTTTCATACCAATAATAATTGCAAATATTCTTTGTATTCATCTAGTAAACAGTGTAACTCACTTATCTAATAATTTTCAGAAACTGGAGAGGTCGCAAGAGTGGTTAGAGAAGAGTAGCGGAGCTGTTGAGTTGTAGTTGTTTGTGGTTTTGTGGTACTGTTGGCATATGTGTGTCTGTGCATTTAACAGTGCTCTGTATCTTGGTTGGCGTTCTTGCTTGCATGTGAGCGGTTGTCTCCAAAAATATGAGATAAAAGCGAATATTTTAGAGACATATAGCGGCTATTACTACGCTTTCTAGATGGCACAAGGTTCCGCCTGATTCAAGAAACTAAGCGTTGAGCAATCATGTGTCTATTGGTTTACAAACAGCTGGCCTGCGGCCCACTTGCCTCCCTACCTCTCAGTTGGATTAAAGTGGTAATAATTGTACCACTCCACCACCTACATGCCCGTTCTCAGTCTAAGAGCTGCGAAGTGCAGGCAGACACGCGCACGAATGAATAATCCCGTCGATAGATATATGCACACAAAAAAAATGTCTAGGACACCTAAGCACTTTTCATGAGTTATGAATGCGAAAGCATGAATGTCGTTCTTCTGATCCCTTAGTTCGTCTGCGGTGTACTGCGTAGACGACCACGTTTCTCTGTTTGCGAGGTTGCGGCCGCCGACGATATAGATGCCTCAGTCGCCGCCATGTTCCTCGGCATTGAGAGGACCAGAGGCAACCGTAGCCCTCCCCCTTCCCTCCCGGCGACGACTGACACAAGACCGACGGCCGAGCGTGCTCTTTCCTGGCGTTCGGGCAGGATCGCCTGGAGGAGGGCTCCTCTGTGCGGTGATGTGCCTTGAAACTAGGGATGCCGCGAACGTTTTTCGAATCGAAGTTTCGATGATCGATTCAAGCGGTTCGAAAGGGTCGAAAGATTTCGAATTTTCGAACTTTCAAAATCAAGAAATTCGACGGGAGTCGAATTTTCGAACTTATTAAACTAAGAAGTTCGACGCTTTTCGAATTTTCGAACTTATTACGCTGCGAAATTCGATGCTTGTCGAACTTTCGAACTTGATAGACAAAAAAATCGATGATTTTCGAACTTTCGACTCCTTGCACTAAAAAGTTCGAAGTTTTTCGAACTTTCGACCTTTTTACGCTAAGAAATTCGATCATTTTCTAACTTTCGAACTTATGAATCTAAAAAATTCGAAAATTGTCGAACTCTCGATTTCCGAAAAGTGAAACGTTCGACGAACTTCGAACTTTTAGGGTTAAAGTTCGAAGTCGTCGAACTTCGAAAGACCAGCGGGCGGTTTCATTTGGATTCGAGCAGTGAGGTACACTCGTAATTTTTTTTTCGGAATTTTACATGGGGTGCCGCATTCCTTGCGAACGACAATGCCGTTTATTTCTATCATCTGGCATG